GCAGATTTAAATGATAGGTTACAGACTACAGTTAGTAGTTCTGCAATTTCACATTTGAGTTCCTTCAGAACTCTTGGGTGAATACCATCTGGTCCTGGTGACTTATTACTGTTTAGTTTATCAATTTGTTCCAAAACCTCCTCTAATGACACCTCAATCTGGGACAGTTCCTCAGATTTGTCACCTAAAAAAAAATGGCTCAGGTTTGGGAATCTCCCTCACATACTCAACTGTGAAGACTGATGCAAAGAATTCATTTAGTATCTCTGCAATGGACTTATCGTCCTTGAGTGCTCCTTTAGCATCTTGATCGTCCAGTGGCTCCACTGGTTGTTTAGCAGGCTTCCTGCTTCTGATGTACTTAAACATGTTTTTGGTATTACTTTTTGAGTCTTTGGCTAGCTGTACTTCAAATTCTTTTTTGACCTTCCTAATTATATTTTTATACTTCATTTGCCAGAGTTTATACTCCTTTCTATTTTCCTCACTAGGATTTAACTTCTACTTTTTAAAGGATGCCTTTTTGCCGCTCACTGCTTCTTTTACTTTGTTGTTTAGCCACAGTGGCTCTTTTTTGATGCTCTTACTATGTTTTTTAATTTGGGGTGTACATTTAGGTCGAGACTCTATTATGGCATCTTTCCATGCAGTTTGCAGGAATTTCACTTTTGGCGCTGTACCTTTTAACTTCTGTTTCACTAACCTCCTCATTTTTGTGTCGTTCCCCTTTCTGAAATTAAATGCTACAGTGTTGGGCTGCTGTGGTGTTTTCCCCACCACAGGGATGTTAAATTTAATTATATTATGGTCACTATTACCAAGCGGTCCAACTATATTCACTTCTTGGACCTGATCCTGTGCTCCACTTAGGACTAAATCAAGAATTGCCTCTCCTGTTGTGGGTTCCAGGACTGGCTGCTCCAAGAAGCAGTCATTTAACTAAGAGCTGTGCAAAATGTTCACAGTGAAAACAAAGATTGTTGCAAAAATTCCCATATTTAGCTCAATGGCTGAGACAGCACCTCGTCAGTGCCGTATAAGATTCCAATCTTTGCAGCTCTTCCTGTCCTCCCTGTCCCTAAAACCTCATTTGTATATGGTGAGAGTAGAACCCTGCCCTTTTGGGACCACGTGGAGAGGCTCCTTCTGTACTTCTGACTAGTGCTGAATCTCACTGAATAGCACATCTCAGAAGCCTGAATGACTTTATTTGATTTCTGCTTTGTTTTAATAAGCAATTGATGAATCCTAATTGTGGTAAAGAAGCCTGTCCACAACATAAAAGCCATCACCACAATCAAGACTTAGTGAGGCAAAGAATTCAATAAATACAGAAACTGAAGCTATCTTTTCTGCGCTACAGATTGTTCACTGTAGGAGGGGATTGAGGCCGACACGAGGTAAATAATTAAGAGGAGGATCTGTCAATAATCTATTAAAAATAGTACACAATTAATTGAATACTATGTTTTGCAAATATATTTCCTGAATTATCAGTAAAAACAATGAGGAATCCTTGTGGCACCTTAGAAGGCAACTCCCATCTTTTCATGTGCTGTATTTTTATACCTGCCTACTGTATTTTCCACTCCATGCATCTGATGAAGTGGGTTATAGCCCACAAAAGCTTATGCCCAAATAAATGTGTTAGTCTCTAAGGTGCCACTGGACTCCTCGTTGTTTTTGCTGATACAGACTAACATGGCTACTACTCTGAAACCTAAATTATCAGTGTGGCTGTATGTAACTGGGAAAATCATCTAAAAACATTCAGTGAATAACTGGACAAATATTGTGAAATGTTATGAATAAATTATTTGAGAAATATTATTTGACCAGCTGTAGTTGATCACAGTGGTGGCATAGTGGCAGCTGTGTAAGATCAGGATTTGAATCAGGAATAAGTATTTTTTTCTGTCAACTTTTTGCTTGTAGTCATGAGATCATAGATTCATAGATTCCAAGGCCAAAAGGGAACACTGTGATCATCTAGTCTAACCTTCTGTATATCACAGAAGGCCACAGAACTTCCCCAAAATAATTCTTAGAGTAGATCTTTTAGAAAAAACATCCAATCTTGATTTAAAAACTGTCAGTGATGGAGAATACACCATGACCCTTGGTAAATTGTTCCAATGGTTAATTTCCTCACTGCTAAAAAATTGTACCTTATTTCCAGTCTGAATTTCTCTAGCTTCAATTTCCAGTCACTGGATCGTGTTACACCTTTCTCTGCTAGACTGAAGAGCCCATTATGAAATATTTTTTCTCCATGTAGATACTTAGAGACTGTAATCATGTCACCCCTTAGCCTTCTTTCTCTTCGTTCAACTAAATTGATTGAGCTCTTTCAGTCTATCACTATAAGGCACGTTTTCTAATCCTTTAATCATTCTCGTGGCTCTCTGAAACCCTCTCTAATTTCTCAACATCTTTCTTGAATTGTAGGCACCAGAACTAGACACAGTATTCCACCAGTGCCAAATACAGTGGCAAAATAACCTCTCTACTCCTACTTGAGATTTCCCTGTTTATGCATCCCAGGATCGCGCTAGCTCTTTTGGCCACTGTTACTGTGGGAACCCATGTTCAGCTAAGAAAACATGGGTAAGTAGTAGATACCACACTAAACCACAGACCAGAAATCCTATATTCTCTGAAGGTCAGTAAATCTAGGGTCTGATCTAGTCCTTGTTGAAGTTAAATGAGAGTATCTCCATTGACTACAATCAATGTTAGATTGCACCTCTAGCTTTCAGTTACCTAGTGGGAGACTTTATTTTTTAAATGTATATATGTGAAATATTTGTTGAAATCTGTGCAGAATCTTTCTATGTCTTGCTTCACTTTGCTGTCAAAAGAAAAAAAAAACGTGTTTCCAATTGTCCACTTGATTAAACCAGTTCTCATTAAAAAATGTACATCTGTCCTTCATGTCCATGTCTGATTTTCAAGAGTTTATATTAATCCATGCAAAGCATATGGAGGATTCAAGTGAAATGGGCTATTAGGTTCTGGCAGTTATTTAAAGTTTAATTACTTGCTAGAAACTCACTCCTAAAAAAATAGTAATACACTTGAATTAAAAAATAATTTTGGTCTATAGTGTTTGGCAATCAAAGGAGATCTAGAGTTAAACTATATTAGCTCACCCACCTTATCTTTCAAATATCCTGCAACCAACTCGGCTACAAAAACACTGCATTCAAACTTACCATAGTTAACTTTGTGCCCCCTCCCCCGACCCCCATAAGAAGTGCAGAGCGCAGCATATTCATTTGCCAATGAATTAAAAATGTGAAAGGCTGTCTTTAAGCAGTGTGAGTTTTGATCCCTTAATCTAGCTAACATTTTATATTTCAAAGTCACTCCATGCAAAATACTTTCATTTCTATGGATGGACTTTTAGATTTAATTTCTGCAGTGAATATTCTCTTCATAACACACACAGAAAAACAGGATATTTTGCATAATCTCCTTAGTTTGATCAAGGCGTTTTTAGATTACATAAAGTAAAATATAAGAAAACAAGGCAGATGGCTAGCCTCCCTTTGATTGAAAATTCCTGCAAGATATTTCCTTTTGATCATGTTACATTTTATTTTAATTTTTTGGATGTGATTTGAAAATCAGAATTACATGCTGCCTCTGATGTGACATTTGAGGGTCTGCTTTCTGTTTACTTACTTTCCACTACGTATATTCTGCACCTAAATGGCTGCTTTATAAAATGTAACATCCTTTTAATTAAACATGTCAGGAGCACAAGTATATTATATGCAGATCATAGTGGGCCTAGTTTTGAATATAAAACAAACCTACTGAAACATGTAACATCACTACATGATGTGACTTAGTAATTGGAGATCCACTTGTGCTGAAAATGTGTAGTACTGCACACTGATTTTCAGCTGGGAAAACTGTTATCAAATCAATGCATGAGGTATTCTTCACAAATGAATAATGTTGTGAACAAGGACATATCAGACACCTGCAGTGTACAAAGTTTTTCTACCATTCATGAACTAAACACAAAAGCAAACGGAATGAGCTTTCCAGCTATCTTTTTATGTCCACTAGTGAAGTCCTCTGCCTGCTTTGATATAGTGCCAAGTTTCCCCAAAAATGTGCCTAATCAAAAGCCCCCGGAAGTCAATAAAAGTCTTTCCACTGACTTCAGATCAGGTACAATCTGACTCTCCTTGTCTTGATACCCAAAAAATTATGGTGGGTGAGTGGAGTATAAAAATAGAGACAGACAGAAATCCTGGTGGTAATGCCACCAACCCCCAGGTCTGCACAGGACAATCTTCATAGTCTGTCAATACTTCAATCATTTGCAGGGCTTGATGCTGAATGGTGTGAGCTGGCCTGGTCAGCAAGAGCCAGAGCTCTGCAACTTAGCAGTGCATATTGCTACTTAAACTGTCTTGGCAAATTCATTTTTCAAGTGAAATGCCACAAAGAAACTGCCTACTACTGCATTTATTCCCTAAACAGACTGATTAAAATATAAGCCCATGATAAAACAACAGTGTGTACTCAAGGGGAGTACAGTTATTGTTCTGTAAATGAAAAGTGCCCCTTTTATTTACCAAGGCAGCTGATATTTTAATTTCACAAAAGGGACCTGTGCAAAGGTTTCCTTATAAAGCTGAGTACCAAAAAACATAATCAAATTTCCACAGAGAAGCTGCTATTGGTTTCCCTCTCTTGCATAACATACTTCACTAGCACAAACTTGTCTCTATCTACCACATGAGCAGAATGTCATACCAAATGGTGCTACAGAACAATCAAGTCCCTGTGGAGTTTTTTTAATGTCCATAAGCATTATTATTACAAATACCAGATGAATTCATGATGAGGATAAGTACACTGCAGTTTCACAGTGAATGGGTACGGGGATTCATGCAGTGATGCTTGGCTTCTTTTCTGCTGCCCATGAAATACGTCAAAGAACCAGAAACCCCCACAAAAAAATAGAATGAGATAATTACCTAACATGATGAAGGGAATTCCCAGGAAGGTGGAATTGTATTTCCCACCAGTCAGATTGATGATTCCAGCTGCAGTCAGAGTGGCTAAGCTCACCGTTAACAACCCTAAAAGGCCAAGCCAAGGTTTGCTGCGGACACAATCCTGCATAGAACAGCAGAGTATGGCCAAAGTGACCACAAGGACCAGGCCTGTGGTCAGGTAACGTTCTGACACCCTGCTCGTCTTCTGGAAATCCTCCCTCAGCGAAGACGAAGTGAAGGGATACATTTTGACTTTCCTGTTGGATTTCTGGAAAAGTTCGACAGTGTCACAAAAGATGGATTCCCACTTTTCTGCTACCATGTCATTCAGAGAGTTGATCGCCTGCAAGTAGTAGGTGAGCTGGATGGCTTCTGCAGACTTCACCCGATCTTTGCTGTGCACGGTAACCCCGCCAAGCTGGTGCCCGTTATACGCTTCCCTGCCATCCTTTAAGTGAGTGATTGGATATGTGATAACAAAATTAGTTCGATTAGAAGATCGAGCAGACTTTAGCTCCTCCAGTACATGCACTATGTCATCCACTATGCAAGTCTTGTCATTATTCAGGATACATATATGGGCAAATGTGTAATTGAAACCAGGTCTTTGTACTTGGATCCTGGTCACAGCTGAGTGTAACTGTAAGGGGGAGAAAAATCACACACATTATTCATCAGTTAATTGTGCACCATAGCAGGTAGAATGACAGCAGCTTTGTCATCTCAGTCCATTTCCTATTTAATCTCTGCAAAAAAAAAAAAACATTTCTAATTGCTACAATATTAATAGTAAGCACATTATAAAAATGCAAAACATGCATTGAAGTACTGATATTTCCCCCCAATGTCCTTTACTCATAACTCAATTATGTTTTGACTTCTATAAATGCTAGGTGCACCTGCTGTTCACCCTCTCCCAAAACAAAATATCATTCCAATAAACCAGAATGCTTCATTTCCAAGTGAAGCAAAAGGGACAGCTACAGACCAACCACATGATGGCAATGTAATAATAATCAGGATTGCTAAATGACCACTGCATCAGACAACTATCAGGAATGCAGTACAGAAAAGCAACATGACGGGTCATTTCAATGTGCCACTAGGGTGAGGTGTAGTAGGCCCTGTTGATTGGTAGTGGGAGGGTTAACCCTTTCTCAGGACAAAGGAAAGATCACAGCTGCATGTCCTAAGTGCCAGGATTGTCAGGATAGCATGACCAAGCTATCTGGCATTAATTAAATAGTAGTCCTATCCACCCAAACTACAGCAAAGAGTTGAGGTGATAAGGGAGGCTAAAAACAGAAGTTAGAGCCTCCTGGAAGAACATATTAGCTGGCAAAACCTTTTATTTTAGGAGTTGCTGGTTGGGGCCTGCTATCATTACAGTTGTATCCCAGCTCCTTTTCAGAGGTGCTTGTATCCTTCTGAAGCGTACTGTTTAGGCTGAAAGTGTCCATGGTTAATCTCTGACCAAAAGTGAAAATGTGAGCAAAAAAGGGCTGTTATTTTTGAAAGAGGAAAAGAGTGGAAAAATTGCACTGTCCCCATGGGAAAAATAAAATAAAATCTTGTGACTTCTTTTGAACCAGCTTCCAGCTAAAACAGGTGCAGTTAGAAGGTTGAAATTTGGTAGGGGAATAGCCTTAAGTATAGTGAAGGCCCATTCAGTATTCTGGTGAAAAAATGGTTTAACTTGGCCGTGTTAGGACGCTTTGCAAACTATATTGTTTATTTTGCATATGGTTCCCTGATAAGCTTATAGAGCCAGATCCTCAGCACCAGTGAAGTCCTCTTTGTGCGGCTGTAGTGGTGTAAAGGGTACTTAAATCTGCCTTAAGGAGGCAAGATTCCATGAAAAGCCAGCCGTACGATAGCCACTCTTTACACAGGGTATGGGAGTGGCTTGGGCTAGAATGTCATATACTCTGACAATCCTGGCTGACAGAGCCACCCTTTGAGGGCCATCATCGGCTGGTGCAAGTTAGAAAAGTGCTGAGGCTGCTCTAACTTGGCTTGGCTTGGCCTTCGGCAGCTGCCAAAATCAGAAAGGTAGAAAGGTGTCCTTCCCTTCCTCTCCTGGTGCACTGCTCCGGCTCACTGGGGATCTAGCTCAAAGTGCTACACTCCATAGGCCCCTGAATTACTCTGAAATGATCAAACCTGGAATCTGGTCAAAGGGACCCCTTGGCTTCTTGAAGTGTAGGGTAGTAAACATGGGGCTGGGAGCCAGAATATCTCAAGTTCAATTTCCATCCCTTTTTCTGACTGGTTTTAATAATTCAATATACTTCCCAATCCCTGTTTTGTGAAGGGTCACAACACTCCTTGCATGAGGCCAACAATATCTTTATTGACATTTTTCAGATGGGTTAATCGAGGCACAAAGCTGACTTAACTTGACCAGGATCACTTGGTGTGTGGCAGAGCTGTGAACAGAACCAGATTATAGATCCATGTCTCATTCATTCGAGTACAGTTCCTCTCAGAAAAAAAGGATCCAGTCTTGTGTGGGTATAGCCTATAAAAGCTGTCTACTCATGCTTGCTTGACCACATTTGCCATTTTTGAGATCTATAGATGGAAAAGCCCTCTGTAGGTGCAAAGTGTTCTCATTAGGTCAACTTTAAAGACAGGAAAACTGACATACGGAAAAGCTCAATGACTTGCTTGTAAGGTGCAGGGGTTTGGCAGTAAATCAAAAGATCTTGGTTCTCATGATTCTTTGGTGTTGGGAAAGTCTCTTGTTTCCTCCTCTGTAAAGCAGGGATATTAACACATATTTACTGATGAGTTGAGAGACTGAATTAGAAATGTCTCTAATTTTTTTTAAATGACGAGTAATTATAATCTGACCTGCTGCTTGGCAGGACAGAAAGCACTGTCCTGGGGAAGAAAAACATCCCTTTCTCTTTATATTAGATGTGCTGCTATCTACGGAATCCCGAGGGAGTGGGAGATTCTCAGTTTATACAGACAGTGAAGGGACTGAATTGAGGCAATATTTAGCACACACGTTTTCTGTAGAAGAAAAACTGTGATTGAAAAAGAAAATGAGAGAAGATACCCACAATAACAATGGAGCTTGCAGGCTCTGGTAGTGGAGATGGATTAGCTGTCTAAACACCGTGGGTGAAATCCTGGCTCTCTGGAAGTCACTGGAAGCCCTTGACTTCAGGGTAGCCAGAATTTCACCATATTTGTAGAAAAATGCACATACCATGTATTATTTATTTTATCAGCGATCTGATTATCTTGTAATTATCTTACATAGTCCACTACCGGGATAAATCTAGTTGAAATTGTCTGCAATTCTTATGATGATATAAACAATATGTGTAAGAAGATGTTTGTCTTGCAATTATGTGGCTTGTTTCACTTGCATTTGAGTGGCTTTAATTTTCTGTAAAATTATAGAGCAATATTGACAATGTGAAGCTAGGTTGGGAAAAGGAAATGAACCAACAAACCTCTCCAGAGGATTGGAAGGATATAATGTTAACCAGAGTGAGCAGGCTAAGTTCTCCCTCATGGAGAGATTACAAATAGGAATTTGTGATTAAAGATTTTTGCACAACAGTCCTGCAAAACAAAATAGAAGTCTTCACAGGAGGGAATGTCTTCGGAGACTGTCCCAAGTTGAAAGGCTTCTGCTCTGTTAGAAAACTAATGCAACAGTTATTTCAGGGATATATCCCTCAACTTCATGTTGTTATGGTGTTAGGGAAGTGTTTTGATTTACTGAAATCAAATGTAGATATCTGTTTAGAGTTTTTGTGGTAGCAGCCAGTAAATATATTTCATCAACTATGTTTGTAAAAACAAATGCCATTTATAGAAGTGTAGCTGACAAGAATAAAAGATTTTTAAAAATTGAATTATTTGCTGCCTGCATTAGATTAGCAACTGATATCTTTGCGGAAGGATGCACAGAGTAGGATGCTGCAATTTAACCCCCCAAACAATGATATAACTTTTAAAATAATATATATTATTTTTAATATAGATTTTAAAATAATATATATTATATATAATTTAAAATAATATGTTATTTACTCTCTGTCTCTACTTACCTATTCTGCCTCAACTCTGCTGAATTTCCTTTGCTTGTATGTCTGAAACCTTCTCTTATTTAGGTTAGAAAATAATTTGTACTGCCAACAATTCTGTTTATCTTTACTAAAAAGCTAGTAGCTAAACATGATATTTGAAATACTCATGCTCTCTGGAGGCCATCATTTCTGATTCAGAGACCAGATCATATCATGTAGCATGGTCTTTTCTCTGCTGTACTGGCAGAGCAAATGGGCTACAATGCTGGCTTAGCCAGACAGATGGGATAGGAGAAGGCTCAAGTAATCTGGAGATGGCTATTGGTCTTCCCCACTCTGCCAGCATAGGGAACGTGCCAGGGATGCATCAGGGAAGGAAAGGGAGCAACCAGAATGCACTGTGCTCTGGCAGTCCCTGGATAATATAACGGCCCTTGAAGGTTGTTACAAGATGGTGCAATTTAGAGCAGCGCTGAGGCTGCTCTAAATTGTGCCAAGAGCCAAATTGGCCCCTACCTGGCCTAGAATCAGCGATGGGTAAAAAAGTGGTGTAAAACCACCTTTCCCTTCATATCCTCCCCACCCCCTACATGCACTGAGCACTGTTTGAGCCATAAAGAAGGTTGACTCACACCTTCATCCTGGAAGCAGATACATTCAGTACCCTGCAGTTTACTATGTGCTGTTTTCAGAACAGATCTTACAAACTAAACCACTCTTGCTTGTGTGTGAATACTAAGGAACACTCGGGACAAGTTTGGTTTGGTGCAGCAGCATCCTAGAATATCTCCTTCTCCACACTGATCCATCAGCCTGTGTGTCAGTTGGCTGCTGCCCTCTTCCCCAGAGATAGTTGTAGTTCCATGGCTCTCCTTATATGAAGGCATTTTAGGAACTTGATTGTTAGATTTGCACTGAATTTTTCATTTAGAGCAGAAATCCAACCTCTTTGTTTCGTAGGATATAGAATATGTAAAGTGCTTTGTGCTGAAAGGTGCTATTAATTTAAATGATTACACTATACACAACTTCATTTGAACACGGTATATTATGACATCCCTTTGGAAAAGTGTTTAGTTTAGCGAATAGTAGTGACTACTGTTTAACTGGGACAGCATTAGCATAAATTTAGACATTGCAAAGTAGTTTAATGGTGAGTAATAAGGATTTAAAAAGATGTGACATTTGAAGCTCGGACTAAGGATGGGTCAGACAGTCTTATTTATTCCTAATCAGTTTTCCCATCCCTAATTGTCTAATACTTAGAAAGGGAGAACAGAAGTAATATGAATATAATCCGCACAAATATTTTTTATCCAAGATCCTCAAAGGGCAAGTAGTGCCGGTTCGTCATGGCGTACAGTTTTCTCAGTTAACTAACAGTGTAACTTTAGAACCCAGTATATAGCTGGTGCAGGAAAGCACTGTGCATGAGAATTGTATAGTATCACTTCAGCCATGATAGCATGCTGGTTTTGCTCTTGTACCTGAAAGTGCACCTGTCACAAATTAAATAATAATTGACACCCTTCTAGTCTTCTTGCTTAGAGGGACATTGTCAACTGAAATTCACATTCCCAGTCCCCCC